GAACCTAATATTCGTGACTCAACAGGTATGGCTAGTGAGGATGAGTCAGAAGAACGAGTCAGCTGCACGAAATGTGCATGACCTATTACAGGCGAGGATGGTAAGTGTGACTCCTCGGGATGAGGATGGGTCACATGACTCACCATAGAGAGTAAAAGAAAAGTGTGTCTTCTCAGCGTGAGGGGAGAATGGGTGAGACGCTGAGTGAGATGGAGTAGACGGGACAACAGAGCGTGAATAACATGCATGACTCATCAGTGTGCAGATGAAAGGCATGACTCAGCAGGGTGAGACTTTAAAGCATGACTCACCAAGGTGAATGCGGGAATAGTCTCCCATAAGGATGAGGGAAGGAGAGGTGAGTCACTGAGAAGAGGAACGGTGAGGATGGGGCGGGTGAGTCACCGAGGGGAGCCGGCAGTATTGAGCGAGGGGAAACATCGGTGGCCTGGGCTGAGTCATGTCTCGCCGAGTGCTGTCCGGACTCCCTGTATGGTGTTTGGAAGGACTCTTTGTATGGTGTTTGGAAGGACTCTCTGTATGGTGTTTGGAAGGACTCCCTATATGGTGTTTGGAAGGACTCTTTGTATGGTGTTTGGAAGGACTCTTTGTATGGTGTTTGGAAGGACTCTTTGTATGGTGTTTGGAAGGACTCTCTGTATGGTGTTTGGAAGGACTCTTCGTATGGTGTTTGGAAGGACTCTTTGTATGGTGTTTGGAAGGACTCTTTGTATGGTGTTTGGAAGGACTCTTTGTATGGTGTTTGGGAGGACTCTTTGTATGGTGTGTGGAAGGACTCTTTGTATGGTGTTTGGAAGGACTCTTTGTATGGTGTTTGAAAGGACTCTTTGTATGGTGTGTGGAAGGACTCTTCGTATGGTGTTTGGAAGGACTCTCTGTATGGTGTTTGGAAGGACTCTTTGTATGGTGTTTGGAAGGACTCTTTGTATGGTGTTTGGAAGGACTCTTTGTATGGTGTTTGGAAGGACTCTTTGTATGGTGTTTGGGAGGACTCTTTGTATGATGTTTGGAAGGACTCTCTGTATGGTGTGTGGATTGACTGCCTGTATGGTGTTTGGAAGGACTACCTGTATGGTGTGAAGAAGGACTCTCTGTGTGGTGTTTGGAAGGACTCTTTGTATGGTGTTTGGAAGGACTTCCTGTATGGTGTTTGGAAGGACTCTTTGTATGGTGTTTGGAAGGACTCCCTGTATGGTGTTTGGAAGGACTCCCTGTATGGTGTTTGGAAGGACTTCCTGTATGGTGTTTGGAAGGACTCTTTGTATGGTGTTTGGAAGGACTCCCTGTATGGTGTTTGGAAGGACTCCCTGTATGGTGTTTGGAAGGACTCCCTGTATGGTGATTGGAAGGACTTCCTGTATGGTGTTTGGAAGGACTCCCTGTATGGTGTTTGGAAGGACTCCCTGTATGGTGTTTGGAAGGACTCCCTGTATGGTGTTTGGAAGGACTCCCTGTATGGTGTTTGGAAGGACTTCCTGTATGGTGTGCGGAAGGACTGTCTTTATCGTGTATGGAAAGATTACCTCTATAGTGCATGACAGGTCTCCCTATATGGTCTTTGGAAGGACTTCCTGTATGGTATGGTACATGGAAGGACACCCTGTATAGTGTAGAATACCCTGTATAGTGTGTGGAAAGACTCCCTCTATAGTGTGTGGAAGGACATCCTCCAAGGTGTGTGGAAGGATTCCCTGTATGGGAGGACTTCCTACGTAGCGTAAAGGACATACTGTATAGTGTATGGAATCGTGCCTTTTCTCCCGATCGTGATGCGTTGCCATGTCCTTAAGGGTCATGCTGTTGCTAGGCTGTCACACTGGGATTTCATGGTTGCACGACGGGTGGCTTCTCGCATGACATTTTGGATCACTGTATGGAATATAGTGATGTCTTCTGTGTCACCAAGGTAGCGTGTCAAGTTGACAAGCTAAAGTGTACGGATGTCAACGGAGCGTGTCGAAGCGTGAGGATGATTGCGCAAAGTGTTACTGTGTCAGAGTAACGTGTCATTTCACTTCCTCGTGGTAGTCTATGCACGGGGAGAGTGTTTTGGCACAAGATTTCCAGGGAATCATGTGGGTTTATTTACCTACACATCCAGACAGGTTTTGGCCTTGCAAACGCTATTTTTTCTGCTTGATAAGAGGGGTATCTAGATTAGAGGGTCGACATGAAGCTGCTATCGATGTTAGATCATTGATCCTCCTGATACTCTTCTCTCCAGTCTTACACTTGATACCGTTGTATTTAAACCTCTGAAAATGCAAAGGGGGATTTCATATGACAAGAATCTGCCCAGCATCTTCAGCTCAGACGGTGGGCTTATAAGGCATTTTCATCACGTCCGATGAGTAAGAATCGGGGTGGGAAGCAGCACTATGACAAGAGCAGGTGGCCGCAGGGGAACCGTCACGTTTTCATGGACACAGGGACAAACACCAGATTCTCCATTAGAAAACAATCTGCCATAGCCGGATACATCATCGAGAGTCATCGAACTGAATGTAAAAAACGGAAGTGTTGAGCGGGAGTACAGCTGGCTCGCTCTCCCCCCCTCCCTCCCTCCCTCCCTCTTTCCCTCCCTCTCTCTCTCTCTCCGTCCCTCCCCCGGTCCCTTCAGCCGACTCCGCCACACCCACTATCCGGCGGGGATTTCAACCAGTGACGTCACACACTCCTGTGACATCTATTAGAGACATGATAAATATCAAACACATTTGCTGTTTCTTCTGCGTGCATTAATAGTATTAATCGGAAGTATTGCAGAGACTTTCCGACGCTTGAGCACCTTCATACTTCCGCAAAAGAGTGACCAGCGGGATGGGGGAGGCAGACGGCACATCTAGAGGCTGGCAGAAGACTAGATAGACACCTAATTCAAGCTACTTATCTGTAGGCATAAGTGAACTTTGACATTATCAATCCGTTAAGTAATCAAAACAGTTTGATATTTAGCTAATGTAGCAGCAATACCTTTGTTTGCAGGGTGTATGTAGGAGACTGTTTTCGGTGTTATGTGATAGGGGCGGTCACCGTATTCTAATATGGCGTGAAAGTATGCTACGTTATTGCGACATAATGCCTATAATTCGGCATGAATTATATTAAAAACGACAGCTTTGTATGGGTGGAAGTGTAAATGACTCTGTAAACATGGCGGCAACATCAACAATTCAACAGGAAGCATATAAAACACACAGAATTTGCTAGGGGATGACTCCATTATACAGCCTCTGTCTGTGAGTTTACTTGCTCAGATGTATTTGCCTCCTCTATTCTACGCTCCGAACAACATCCCAAATGGCTCACACACCGCCACCTGTCGCTACATGCATCTAAATATATTGAGTAAATAAGTAAATAAATATATTTCATGATATAAATAAGAGTATTTCTTAGTGAACGGCAACGCTTTTGCTGTTTTATGATCATAATAAGCAATTAATATAGTAAGATATCATTAATTCCTACCTTTAGCTTTGACACAGCATATACAGTACACACATATACACGTCCATACAAAAATACAAACAGCATATAAGCACAAGGTATGCGCGTAGGTAAGAGAGAGAGAGAGAGAGAGAGAGAGAGAGAGAGAGAGAGAGAGAGAGAGAGAGAGAGAGAGAGAGAGAGAGAGAGAGAGAGAGAGAGAGAGAGAGAGAGAGAGAGAGAGAGAGAGAGTGTGTGTGTGTGTGTGTGTGTGTGTGTGTGTGTGTGTGTGTGTGTGTGTGTGTGTGTGTGTGTTTGTGTGTGTGCTCCTCTGTTCGAAGCAAAGGCGATGTTTATATAGAGTTATACAATATGAGTAATTTGAAGGATAGAAAGATAGATACATGGCCTAATATATAATTATTTAGACTTATCGACAGACAACGCAAATGGAAGAAGAGCGGCATTATCAGCAGATAGATAGATTAATAGTCAGATTGATAGACAGATCTATACAGTTTCAATGACAGACAGATGAATATAGTAATAGACAAAGAGGTAAATCACAAGGCAGACAGACCGAGAAACATAACACAACTTAGGTCTTGTAATGTTAATGCGCATGCAAGTGTTCTAAAAGCCTTCACTTTTCTGCCATGCAAATGTCATGCAGATAATAATCGAATATGAACATATCGTCGTAATTAACTCGAAACCTCTCTTTAATATCTGCAAGGTTCGTTTATGATATGCGTGATTTGCATATGCACAAGGTTAGTAGAATTGTTAGGTAAGCTAAGGTGAGAGTGGGAGGTAGATCATATACTCTCAGGTGTGCGGGTTAGTAGATTACTATGATATAATCCAGAAGACAACGTGATAATTTACATGGGACTGAATAATGAGTATTGTTTCAAAAACTTTGAAAATCGAGTTTACTGAGGCGTATGGAATATTAGCATTACTCCCATGTGGTACAAAAGGTAGTTCTTAGCGATCGAATATGCCCTCTCTGTGACCTGAATTATTAATAGAATCAATGCTACGTTCACACAGCTTAACAGGTATAGCTTTCATGAATTCTAAGTTATATACCACAAGACCGTAATTCTAGCTATGAACGCCATTCTCATCATGGACATTCACCCTCTCACGGTGTCATGAATTTTTAATATAACTGATAAAACTAATCTGATTATTTTATTAGTCCTATCTGTATTTCTACAGACATACGCATGATTTGCTGTAAGAAAATCTAGATTATTAAACACTTTTCATACAAGCATCATTGCGTTCCTTCTTTTTTTTGTTCCCGCCAATTTAGGGTTAAAATTTAAAACTATAATGAAGAATTATGATATATTAACTGTTATACTCCAATAGACTAAAAAAGCGTATCATAATGAAATAAAACATTAATTATATAATGAAATTTATTACAATATTTGTAATCATAGATGTTAATAACATTTAAAAGTGTTTAAAGATGCTCGCTTGACTAAGAGTCGCCACTCCTTTCCCTTCTTCCGAGTCCCGGGTCCTGGCGCCGCTGCAGTCACTGAGCGACCTCGGAAGAGAACGGACGTACAACCCGAACCGTAAAAATGAGAGAAATCGTCCACATCCAGACCGGCCAGTGCGGCAACCAGATCGGCACCAAGGTAAGCACAAGTGATGCTGTGTGATTGTGCCGTGTTGCGTTGTGGATAAAACTTGTCGCGAATTGTGTTAAATGGTGGTTCTTTGTAAAGAAGGCGCGGCCGGCGGGCGGGCGGGCGTCGCGCCTCAATGCGCGCGCCTTCTGCCTCGCCCCGCCCTTTGTCTGGTCGTTATGCTTTGTAAAACTTGCTTTTATTTACATTTCGATTTGACATCTCAAGTGGTCGTTTCCAATTATCCTGTTTAGGTCCGAGAAGCTCCGCCGCGTTGAATTGACCTGAAATAAAGTCTGCAAAAGAACGTCACACCAGACGAGTGTTGTGACCGTTACCATGACTGCGGGCGGTTTTCTGCGGGAACTTTCCTCGCCCTCTCCCAGTTCTTGCCATTCCACAGGCAACCCTGTCATACGAAAGGAAATGTCTGAGACGTATTTTAAAAATGAAACTGGGCTGCCGTTCTTTGTATTCCTGTCTGTCTGTGAGCTCGGAGCCGTAGCCACCCGGCGCGGTTCTCCCGACATTCCGCTTCGCATTACGAGGCGGAACGGACGGGGAAATGGCCGAGATTTTCATCACTTGAACATTAATCTGTTATCTGCCCCCTGTCGCAGTGCTGCAGCTGTTCAAAGCAAATCGATAGCCCTTGCTCTCCCGACCCCCTCCCACCCCGCCGCCCACAGCCTCCGCCTCAAGGTGTCTGCAGCATCAGCGGTGACCGTCACCACGCGGTTCGACGGCGGTTTTAAGCTTCTTGACCAGACTCTACGGTTCTGCGGTTGACGGAAATGCTGGGGCGCGTTCGTTTGTCGAAGGAATTCAACCGCGCGTACAAACTAGGACTCGGTCTTCGGTGAAGATTTCGCCCACGCCTTTTCCAAGAGATGAAACAGCAACAAGTGCACATAGGGGAGCCAGTTAATGGCCTTTGATTCGCCGTCGCGTGAATGCCGAGGTTGAATTGGAAAGGGAGCGGCGGCCGCATTCCGTGTCGATATTAAAGGGGTCAGGACTGAGGGAAGGTCGCCGTCGCGTGATCGAAGGCTTCGTAAAGGAGGTTTCAACGCCTCCGCTAATGACATTTAACAGGCAAATTGCAGAATGATTGCAACTCATTACGAATGCGTTTTGCGACATTAAGGGCAGTTCGTTCGGTTTGTTAAGGTTAATCCTTTTAGTTGTGGACGCACTAAGCTAGAGCAGATTGATGATATGTACATGAAATAATGTGCATACACGAATGATAACGCATTAATAAAAAGGGGAAATGCGGAAAGCGGCGCTTACGGCCGAAGTCCACTCGGTGCTCCCGGGTTTCACCACTTACCGTGCCTACCGACGTGAAGACAGTTTGCCGGGGAGGGGGGGGGGGTCGGAGCTCCCCATCAACCGTTCCCACGGGCGACGCCCAGTCACACGACTTCTATTAATATTCAATAAATTTTGTGGTGAGGAGTTGGGGGCCTTAGTGTTTGGCGAATATGTCCGTACATTAAAGATTTACCTAGTTTGTATGCATTTATATTAATGGAGTCTTGACTTTTCAGTTCTGGGAGATCATCAGCGATGAGCATGGCATCCAGCCATCAGGCGAATACACAAGTGGTGTGGACAAGGACTTGATGGACCTCCAGTTGGAGCGCATCAACGTGTACTACAACGAGGGCAACCAGGGCAAATATGTACCCCGTGCAATTCTTGTGGACTTGGAGCCAGGCACCATGGACAGTGTCAGAGCTGGTCCTCACGGGCACCTCTTCAAGCCAGATAGTTTTGTATTTGGTAAGTTGCACATTTATGCTGTACAGGATAATAAGAATATCCGTCTGCATTTTAGTGTCCCCTTTTTTTGTATGTTTTTCAAGTTTGGTAATATTTACCCAATAGTAGTACTGAGGAGGAATTGAATTGACAGGTCTCCTATGACATTGATTTTATTAGTCATTTGGTAACTAAATTTAGCATGAGCATCTTTCCATTCCTCTTCCCCACGATCTCCATATATGTAAAAATGTTTGCAATTTTGACATTTCTATTGTCAGGTTATTTGATTTTTATTTCCAGCATCAGATCTGTCATGGTGTCTTAAAAGTGTTTCTCATGTGAGGTCAGTGTAACTTCCTGGTTACTAAAGCCTCTGGCTTGAGATGAGTCAAGGAAATGTAAACTAATGCAGATGACTTAGGATTTGCAAGATTTTGTACACCCTAAGAGGATTTGCATACCAGTTTAGTTTCTAACTGAAGTCATGTACTAAAAAGTAGTTTGTTACTGGTTTCTGCAGTTTCTTCAGGACATATAAAATATTTAGTCCAGACAGTAGACAATTACTCTTATATAGTAAATTGATAGCTTTTCTATACACAAGTTTTATATACATAAACTCATTTAATATATGCAACTCTATAAATTTTGATAATGGGGAATTACTACAGATATCTCTGCCTTGAATATACTTGTGCATACAAAACTATGCATTAAAACTTAAAAGATTAAGAATTTGCCATTAAATATACATGCCTTAAATGAATACTGGTCTGAAATTTGTTTCTTGTTAAAAATAAACATGGATATGATTGACCATGTGAATATATTGACGCATCTCATGCCCAATACTAGGTTATATTCACTGCTTGGATGCTTTGCTGCAGGGATCATAAAATATCCCAAAATTTATTTCACTTGCCATAACTTCAATTACAAAAATGTTATATATATACTATACTGTGATAGCTGCTTGCTTGTCCTAAAGATTAGGTTATTTTTATAGGTATGTAATTTCAGGTTTATAGATTTACTTCTCATAACAGTGTACATGTCCCTATTGTTTCATTTGTTTTCCATTTAGTGCACACTTATGACCTTACTCACTGCTCACTTGTTAGTTGAGGTGTATAGTAGCTATTTAGTAATACACGGCTAACACTGCACACTTAGTTTATGGGACATCTGGTTAATTTAAGGAATGTAGTGGCTTTCATACTCCAACTAGGTATTTTTATGAAATGACCCGAGATGGTTAGGTATTGCATACCCTACATTTAGTTGGTGATTATTGCACATTATTTAAAATGGGTTAAATGTGCGCGATTAATCCTTAATCTTAAGCCTCCTAGTAACCAGTAGTGTATGCATAACTTATACATGAAATTTTACTAACATATCTTAAGTCCTTTTTCAATTACCTTTTTTTTATATATATATATATCTGTCTTTTATTAAGGTGCATGTAATTGACAGTATTGAGGATGAATATTTAAATAGCATTCTTGTAACTATATGAAATAAACATTCTCCAGTAAATCTTTTCTGTAGGTCTTTGTATATAATTAAATATGTAAAATTCTAAATTGTATACTTTTTCAACAGGCCAGAGTGGTGCTGGCAACAACTGGGCCAAGGGCCATTACACAGAGGGAGCAGAATTAGTGGATTCCGTTCTGGATGTGATTCGCAAGGAGTCTGAAAAGTGCGACTGCCTTCAAGGATTCCAGCTAACACATTCCCTTGGTGGCGGCACTGGGTCTGGTATGGGAACTCTGCTGGTGTCAAAAATCCGTGAAGAATTCCCAGACAGGATCATGGTCACTTTCTCGGTTGTACCTTCCCCAAAAGTAAGTGTTTGGAAATATTTTAGGACCACAATATTTTTTGAGCTGATGTGTTAAATCCCTTTACATTACATGCATATTCTAATGAGTATCTTTTCTTTAGGTTTCAGACACTGTGGTGGAGCCATACAATGCTACCCTCTCCATTCACCAACTTGTAGAGAACACTGATGAAACTTACTGCATTGATAATGAAGCCCTTTATGACATCTGCTTCAGAACACTCAAGCTAGCTAATCCCACATATGGTGACCTGAACCATCTTGTATCACTGACCATGTCTGGTGTAACAACTTGCCTGCGTTTCCCTGGCCAGCTGAATGCTGATCTCCGAAAGCTTGCTGTGAACATGGTACCCTTCCCTCGTCTCCATTTCTTCATGCCTGGATTTGCTCCTCTAACTGCCCGTGGTTCCCAAGGATACCGCGCCCTTACTGTACCTGAACTGACCCAGCAAATGTTCGATGCCAAGAACATGATGGCAGCTTGTGACCCTCGTCATGGAAGGTACTTGACTGTCGCTGCCATCTTCCGAGGTCGCATGTCTATGAGGGAAGTAGATGACCAGATGTACAACATCCAGAACAAGAACTCTTCATTCTTCGTTGAATGGATCCCCAACAATGTTAAGACTGCTGTCTGTGATATCCCACCCCGTGGTCTCAAGATGGCTTCAACCTTCATTGGTAACTCTACAGCTATCCAAGAGCTTTTCAAGCGTGTTAGTGAGCAGTTCACTGCTATGTTCAGGCGAAAGGCTTTCCTTCATTGGTACACTGGTGAAGGTATGGATGAAATGGAGTTCACTGAAGCAGAATCAAACATGAACGACTTGGTATCTGAATACCAGCAATACCAGGAGGCTACTGCTGATGATGAAGCAGAGTTTGAAGAGGAAGGCGAAATTGAGGGAGAATACGACTAAGAATCTCTAATTTTCATCTGACCCAGTGCTGATTATAGCTCTGGATTGTCACTGTTAGTATTATTTTCCATGTAATAAAGGAGAAGCAGTGCAACCACATTCAACTTACTTTAAACTACCGTGTAGTTAATTTCTGCACCACATTCCCTTTTGGTTTTACAGCCATGGATTCTTAGCTTAAGATTTCTTTCTCATAAATTAAATCTTAATATTTA